TTTAAACAAAGTGAACAACATCATGTAGATTCCACTCCAAAAATGTAGTTGCCAGAACAATTCTGTCTTTTAAACTCTAGGCTACTGTGCTGTAATTGAATATACAATTTTAGTCTGTACAATTTACAGAAATAGATCATTTCTACAAAAATATATGTTTTTATAATCATAGTTTTACTGTAAAATTAACATATATATTTGATTTACTTGCTTACAAAATATTACTATTAAGTTAACAATGTTTCATTTAATTTACAACATATTATTGTTAAGTTAACAATGTTCAATTGTATTCTCATTTACGGTATTTCCATGTAGCTATTTTACAGCATTTCAAAGTTAATTTTACGGACATTTTTTTACAGTGTGGGATGACTTCATACCAGTAGCGGTTGCCCAGGAATGGATAGACTGGTTGAAGGAGTTACATCAGTTGGAAGGCTTCAGCATCAGAAGATGTTTAAAACCTCGGAACTTTGGAGAAGTAGCCACTGCTCAGTTGCATCATTTTGCCGACGCAAGTGAGGAAGGATATGGTACTGTTACCTATCTGCTGCTGCATAATGAACACTCTCAGATATACAGCGCCTTCATAATGGGAAAATCCAGGGTGGCACCTTTAAAGCCTGTGACTATCCCACGTATGGGGTTGATAGCTGCTGTTGTAGCAGCTCGTATGGACAAACTGTGGAGAAAGGAGCTAAGACTACAGCTTCAAGACTCTGTTTTTTGGACAGATAGTACCTCTGTGTTAAAATACATTAAGAATGAAACTTCAAGATTTCGAATCTTTGTGGCAAACAGGGTCTCAGAGATTCTCAAGGTTTCTGATGCATCTCAATGGAGATTTGTGAACACTGCACACAATCTCGCAGATCTTGCCTCCAGGGGTGCGAAGGCTGAACCATTCCTAAATAACAAAACTTGGATTTCTGGTCCCTCATTTCTCTTACAACCAGAAGAAGACTGGCCTGATAACCCAGATGAATTGCAGGAGCTTCCACCAAGAGACCGGGAGGTCAAGGTGTCAGCTGCAATTGGAGTCTCTACAATTAGGGATGAAAATGACACTATGACTTGTTTGATCAATCGTACCTCATCTTGGACACGTCTAACAAGAGTGATGGGCTGGGTCCTAAGATTCAAGGCTTTGTTTCTGAATCTCAGAAGAACGAAGGAGGTCACTGCATGTCTTACTCGGTCTGTGTCAAATGCAACTCAACAGGAAGATGGCCTCACCAAGGACATGTGTGATTTCAAGAATAAGCTCTGCGGTGGTTATCTTTCATTGAGAGAGATCCGAGAAGCTGAAATTGAAATAATTATGTTTTGTCAGAGAAAAAGGTTCTCAGAAGAGTTCTCCTGCCTCCAAAAGGGAGAAGGTGTAAAAAGAAACAGCCATGTATACAAACTTAATCCAATATTGGAAGATGGTGTGTTAAGAGTTGGAGGACGGCTAAGTAAGGCTGCCATGCCTGAAGAGGCGAAACATCCTGCCATATTAGCTAAAGATCTTCATATTTCTGACCTCATTCTACAACACATTCATCGAGAGGTCGGCCATGGAGGTAGAAATCACATGTTGTCAAGACTACGCCAGAGATACTGGATCCCTGGTGTGGTTCCATAAGGAAGATCTTGGCAAGATGTGTGGTGTGTCGGCGGCTACATGGAGTTGCAGGTCAACAGCAGATGGCAGATTTGCCTGAAGACAGAGTTTCTTCTGAAGAACCTCCCTTCAGTCATGTCGGAGTTGACTACTTTGGTCCGTTCGAAGTCAAGCGTGGTAGGAGTCTTGTAAAAAGATATGGAGTTATCTTCACGTGTTTGGCGATAAGAGCAGTACACATTGAAGTCGCCTCATCATTAGACACAGATTCCTGCATTAATGCACTGCGACGCTTCATCGCAAGAAGAGGACAGGTCAAAGAAGAGGACAGGTCAAAGAATTGCGGTCAGACAATGGCACCAACTTTGTCGGCGCAGAGCGTGAGTTGAGACGAGCCATTGAAGGATGGAACTTGGAACAGATCAATGATGCACTCTCGTTAAAAGGAATTAAATGGATCTTCAACCCTCCCACTGGATCACACCATGGAGGAGCATGGGAGAGGTTGATTCGTTCTGTTAGAAAGGTCCTTAACTCTACTTTAAAGGTGAACTAAGTAACTTTTTAACCTTAACCGAACAGCTTTGGAGTCATTGTAATGTTTATATTACTGATTTCGTGTTGAATGGTGGTCGTCTCGCACCCCCCTGGTGCCTGTGAGCCACAAAACCACCCTTGCAACTTTGGGCCGGCGAGCCGCCGGCCTCAGTGTTAGGAAGTATCGTGTGATATCAGGTCTCGCGAGGTAACGAATTGCTTTACGGCAAAAAACAGATCTGATAAAATTCTGATAAAATGAGCATCAAACAGAAATAACCCGGCGCCGTATACATGTGGTGTTGGGCGTGCGCAGCTCTTAAAGGGCCCATACCTTATTTCCACTCGTTACAGCGTCCATCCTACTGAACAGGTACCGGTGTACAGGGGGAGGGGATCCGGCCGTGAGTGCAGAGCCATCTCTGCGTGAGTGCTATTTACGACAGTACAAGTACTCCACAGCGACTCTAGGGGTCGCTGTTTGACAAAAACGGAATTTCTACTTAGTTCTGCTTTAAGGACACAAAGTCTGGATGAGGAAGCACTCTGCACAGTGCTCTGTGAAGTGGAATCAATTCTCAACAGTAGACCCATCACCAAGGAATCGACAGATCCCAACGATTTGGAAGCATTAACTCCGAACCACCTTCTGCTTCTCAAAACCAAACCATGTTTACCTCTTGGACTATTTCAGAAAGAGGACATGTATGCACGGCGAAGATGGAAGCAAGTCCAATATATGGCTGACTTGTTTTGGAAAAGGTGGACTAAGGTGTATTTACCACAACTGCAGGAACGACAAAAATGGACCAAGATCAAGCGGAATTTCATTCCTGGAGACATCATTCTTGTAGTGGATGATTCTGCGCCCCGCAACTCCTGGATCATCGGAAGGATAACTGAAGTGCTGCCAGACAGAAGAGGACTTGTGAGACAAGTCTGGATCAAGACCCAAACCATATATGCAGGCCTGTGACCAAGATCTGCCTTCTTCAGGAATCAGCTGAATCCTGATTACTGTATTTTACTTTTGATTGAATTGACTGGACTATTTTTTTACTTTTTTCTTCTGAGAGAAGCCCGAAGATTGGCTCAGTTTTTATGATGGACTATTAATAATTTTTTACTTATTTTTCCTTCCCCTGCATGTGTATTGTATGTGTAATTATTACTGTGTGATAGCTGTAATAATTAGGGGCCGGAATGTAAGAGCCTGGTATTGTTTATTTTATGAACACATTCTTTTGGTTACTTACGGTAATTAAGGCACCTGGTGGTGGAGGAAGTGAGACTATATCATCTTCTCACCTGTGGGGTTCGGGAGGAAGAGAGGGGGTGACGGGGGAAGTCTTATTTTGTTGACCGCTGTAGAACACACTTGTATAATGCCGTTTGGACACCATTTCGTATACCAGTGAAATTACTATGGAATGTTTTGGACACACAACCTTGTTCATTTCTAACACAAATAAATCTACAAAACGCAGTCTTTGGATTCAGGTTCATTGAGCAAGCGCGTCTGGCAATTAGTTTCCCCTATTCAGTCTCTCGTCCGACAAATTATTTTGGCTTTCAGATTGTCGCCCACACCTCCCATTCTGAAACGGAAAACCCAGAGTTTCCCTCATTTCAGGGTTAACATACTCAGAGTTTTCACTTAACCTCCTTTCTGAAACGGGCCCCAGGGGTGTCTACAGAGACCGTGTTTTTTTTTACAGTGTGTTCAGGAGACAGGCAGCTAGCGGATAGTGAGGAGATGTTTGCTGTATGTAACAAAAAATGTGTTGGCCTAAAAAACGTGTGACATCGCTTAGAGCACCTTTAATAAGAAGTATAATGGTATAAGACTGGGAGGTTCTATTCAATACAGTGTGTCTAAAGAGGTAGATGGTGTAAAAAGAAAATCATGAAAGCTGGTGATGCTAAAGTCGTTTATTTAAAAAAGCAGCCCAAAAGTTCCCTTTTTTCTGAAAGTAAAACAATTTGATTTAAAGAAAATTTTCAAAAACAGCTTGATTATGTTATAACAGATGGTGACACCAAATTGCCACGGCGGGCTTTATACGATGATGGACAGATGATCTGCAGTTACGTAATCATCACGTCATCAAAGAGCGCTTGGTTTGAACTGGTTTACAACAAATATCCCAGCTAACAGACTTTTGTTATAAGAACGTTCTCCAAATATTCAGTGTTGGTTCTGGGAACGTGAAAATGTCCAGTTTTCTTGACGTTAGAGGAACGTGTTTTTAAAGGTATAATTTTCCTCAAACGTTCTTTCAACATAATTTTTTTTTTTTTAATTAAACATTCTAGGAACGTTGATTTCTAACATTCCAAGAACATAAAAATGTCCAGTTTCCTGAATGTTACTAGAACGTTATTTAAAGGTTAGTGGAAAATTTTTCACGTTCCCAGAACCAACACTGAATATTTGCAGAACGTTCTTATAACAAAAGTCTGTTTGACTGCAGCTGGAGAATTGAGATGTGTAGATTCTGCTATCACGTCTGTTGTAAAAGAAATCGACAGCGCATTCATTTTAAAAGACAAACAGAGAACTGCAATCAAGGCATTTGTCGATCGTAAAGATGTGTTTGCCGTCCTTCCTTGCCGTTTGCTTGCTCTGATTGGTTGTAGGTCTGTCCAATTGAGTGCAGAGTTTTTTCGGTTAAGGCACACCTCATAATCAATATGGAGCAAAATCAGACTCACATTCTGACTAGAATATGAGTATGATGAAGTCAGGCTAACTAAAACCATAAAGAAACATGAAAACACAGAGCAGCTCTCTGGTTTGAAAAAACAGAATCAGTCAAAGCATTAATTTCTCGATAATTACAGACTGAAACATCTAATTATTTAATTCAGTGATCTTTCTAATCAAATCCAAACCTGGGAAGTCCATAGCTATAACCCCAAAACAAACCTTGGGATTGTTTTTAGATTCGTTGTTGAGATGATCATACAGCCAGGGGTTGATGGCTTCTGCCAAATTTTTGGGGGTCTTAAATACATGCAATTTAGGCCAGCCTGTGCCACTTGAATAGATTAGAAAAACTTTATCAGCTCTTTCCTTTTCGTCTCTAGCCTTAGTCAGATGGCTTTTAATCTTTTCTTTCTTTCTTGTAACATCAGTTACTATATAGTCCTTATCTTCATCAGTTTCAGTTAGACTGATACCCAGCTCAAAGGCTTTTTTCTGAACAAATACAATCTTTCCTCTTACTTGCCCAATTGTTGGTATTTTTTCTAAAATCCAGCTAATGTCATTTTCAATCATATTTCCAATTAAATTTTGAACTGTGGCTTTAAAAAGATAAATGACAGGCTTAACTCTGACCAACACTGTCTCAGTATTATATTCAGATAAAAATGTCTTAATTGTGTCGAAAGCTTCCGGGAATGATGTATGTTGGTAAATCGGTCCATGCATAATTATTAATCCTAAGGCAGACACTCTCAAGTCGAAGTAGCGTATCCCAGCCTTTAGCTGGTCGTTTAGTGACCATGCCTGACATTCTGCTGCTGGTCCTCCGTGAAGAGCCAAGGAGTCATGGGTACCAGGAATAGTGAGCTCAGAAAGTAATGTTTCATCATTCAGAGATTTCATCCAGCCAATTTCATAATTTTTAGGGAGATTGAGTTGTGCCACGTCATTAAACACTTCTAGTTGACTACTCTTGAATATTACACAGTCCAGTCTGTGGAACAAAATCAGAATATCAGGTCAACAATACTTAACACGAGTTCTTCATACACAAACTAGTTGTGTGTGTGAGTGTGTGTGGGTAGAGGGGTAGATGGTGCAAGCAACAGCAAGATCATGAATTTAAATTCACAGGACGTATCAATATCACTGTAAAACCAAACAGTATATTTACACAATTAAATAGAGTTCACGGCACTCAAATAATACTGAAACTTGAAGTGGCTTGAATGACTGAAACAGAACTCAAACAGAAATAGTTATAGAACATTTCTAGATCCTAGAATGATAATTGAATAATAATTGTATAGTTAATTTAATCAATTAAGTGATGATTGATCATTAGTGATGAAGACCTGCTGTTAACAATCAGAATTACTGAAGGAAAGAGAAACACAAGAAATACAAGGTTTAAGGTCACCATGATGGAGATCAGCGCTTGCTTTAGTTGGGCTCTTGACCCTTGACGATTGAATACAAGATTTTCTTTGGCTGCTGTAATTGAGTGTTTATGTGACATTTGTTATGGCACATGTCAAGGAAAAGTATGATGATGACATTCATCACTTAAAGGGTAATTAATCCGGTGGACACATGAATATGTAAGGCCTGCTAATTTGATCCAATGCCGGCATTCAAATTAGCGGTGAAGGTCTCAACGCGCGTTCCGTCTCTTCCAATGGCAGAGGGATTTATAATTAAATGTAATACTTTTTATCTAATGTATTAACTCGTTTCATCTGACTCCATAGAATGAAAGTGTTTTAATGATATCTGTGCATCATTAAGTATACGTTAATGTTTGACTATTCGTTTTAACTCCAATGAAAATAAAGTCAAAGTCTGTTAGAATAATCAAATATAACAATTTATTATGTCAGGTAAATGTATTATAATAATTCCATAATCAATTGAAAGATAATCAATGCAAATCATCAAATGTTCTAGAACAAAGAGGAAAATCTTTTACCCGACATGAAATACATGAATGCTGAGTCTCGGCGACTCAGCATTCACGGGCTATCTGAGATACAGAAAGAGCCACGATCCCTTGCTGCCTTCCATTAAATAGCCAGACCTCATTTCATATGTAAACCTGTATTCACAGTGGAAATGTACTGGTAGGTAACCATTTGCTTAGTTGTAATTTGCATTCAAACAAAAGGCCAGAAGGTGTTAACTCCGAGACAAACCCTTCTGTGTGAAGGATATTTCTATATTCTTAATAACCTTATTACCTTTTGTTTTACTTCTTTTGGAATGAGACACTCGTACCAGCCACCCTGAGACCTTTAAAATGATACTAAACACAATCCTTAATGATACTCATTCACATTAAAACCATACATATATTCTTATGTGTGTTTTAGGTGATCTGTATGAAGGGGAAGGAGTGGGGGATGAGGGGAAGAAATGTAGATTAGGATGATTCAGAGGTGAGACCTTTGTCTCCGGGGAAGAGGGGGGAAGCCAAATGTTAATTTGCCAAGGTCCTTTGTCTCAATAGACCATGTGGTCAGATATTGTCTCTTCAACAAGTTTTACGGTCTTACAAATATGTACTGAAAGTGGGTGATATATGTAGTAGAATAGTAGCATAATTTTCTAATTTGGGTCCTCCTTGGTCGATAAAAGGCAGAAAATGACTTTTTAGTGCTTGCGGTTTGAAGACAGTACTCCCCATAGTGCATTGCAATGCTCAGTCCCGCAGGCCACTCCCACCTCTGCGCTACCGTCTGGAAATAACTTCACACAATTTCTAGTGAAGAGTTACTTTGCGAACTAATTATTGAATTACTCCTCGTTTTGTTTCGAAATGGTGTGCACTTGCATAGTACCGGCATGTTAAGCCAGCACAAGGAAAATACACAGAGTAAGTTCTCTGTTTAAGCAATTAAATATTTTATCTATTTTCACCATAAACATCTATCAAACATGTATCTTTATGTACAAATATATGGTTCAAAATCATAGCCTCCCAAAAGTGTTTAATAACTATTTTTTAATTAAATTTGATGTCCATTCATATCCAAACCGACAAGCAATGAATGTTCATCTTCCCTATTATCATACAAGTCTTGGTCAATTTTCCTTAAAATATAGAGGACCGTCACTTTGGAATACTATTCCTCGCTTTATTAAAACTAGCTCATCATTGTCAGTATTTAAGTCAAGCATGAAAAAACACTTGTGTGATTGTTAAAATTTCTATATATGTGTTGTCTTTAATTGTCTGTCGTTATTGTGACGATTGTTGTTATTTATTATAATAATTTGGTGTAGTATTACTTGAAAATCCAGAGGGGAGGTTTTACTATAAGCCCTTGGGGGTTTCTTACCTCTCCTGTATAATCCATATGTATTGTTTTAATATCTATTTGTTTTGTTCTTGTGCTAAATAAAAAAAAATAAAAAAAAGTTTTCATAGATTACCCAAAGATTTGGACTTGTGCAAAAAGTGGCTACGGGCTATCAATAACCCGAAGTTCGGAGAGGACACTAAAACATCTGACGGTGTGCAGTCTACATTTTAGGGATGGGACGGTATGAAAATTTCATATCACGATTATAGTGTCCAAAATTAGATGAAAATGTTCAAAAAGAACTGATGCTCACACTGAAAACATTTCAACAAGTTTTATATTTGAAAATCAACAAACAACAAATAAAACAAGCAGCTCTATGTACACTGTAAAAATGACTACAACTGAAAATGTTAAATCTAATCAATAAAATTGAGGCAACAAATGACAATCAATATTATTAATTAAATGTAACAAATTAGAATTGAGTAATAATTAACCAAATGAATTACTTAAAAGTTAACCATTTAAAATGAGTAAAATTTACACATTTTTCTAAACAAAAACATCAGAATAACAGACTGACGTCAAAGATGAATTAAGAAATCTTTTTTTTATTGCCATCATTGAAGACACCTGATGTTAACAAGCAGAATCACTGAAGGAGAAAACCGTAAATTTTAAGTCACCATTATGGAGATCAGTGTGTGTTTTAGTTGGGCTCTTGGCCCTTAACTAGGGCTGGGCGATATATCGCACGACATGTTATGCGCATCTCTTCAGTAAAGCCGGTTCCTTGATTAGTAGTAAATCACCTTCACCTGCTTTCAGATGGAAGATATGATGCAAATATGTGTTAAATTAAACCGCAAGAGTGTTAATGAGATAATTAAGTGATTAATTTAGTGATGAATGAGCATTATTGAAGACACCTGATGTTAAAGGTGCTCTAAGCGATGTCATGTCTTTTTTAGGCCAAAACATTTTTTGTCACATACAGCAAACATCTCCTCTCTATCCGCTGGCTGCCTGTCCCCTGAACACACTGTAAAGAAACACGATCTCTGTAGACAGCCCATGCTTCACAAACAGCACCAAAAACAAACTGCAGCGACCCGCTCCCCAAAACATAACAAACTGTTCCAGCCAATGACCGACAAGAAGGGTTTGGGGGTGTGGTTTGGGGGGTTAGTGTGCGGATGAGGAGGAGGGAGGGTCTAGCTAGCCTCCGTTTTGTTTGACAATAGTTCGAACGTCAACAAGAAGTGACGTCACCCAGGATCGCTTAGAGCAGTGGTTCCCAAACCTGTCCTGGCGACCCACCAACACTGCACGTTTTCTTTGTCTCCCTAATCAAACACACCTGATTCAACTCATCAGCTCATTATCACATGGGTTAATGAGCTAATGAGTTGAATCAGGTGTGTTTGATTAGGGAGACAAAGAAAACGTGCAGTGTTGGTGGGTCGCCAGGACAGGTTTGGGAACCACTGGCTTAGAGAACCTTTAACAAGCAGAATCACTGAAGGAGAAAATCACAAATTGTAAGCCACCGTTATGGCGATCAGTGTTTGCTTTAGTTGGACTCTGACCCTTATACTTTCATCTTTAAATTTTGTTTGTCAGCTGTTATTGATTTATAACAGTCAAATGAACAAAGAAAAGTGTGATCGGATAGTGTTGGTTATGTTTTGGCATAATCATGCTGTGATCTGAAAAATTAAACTTATTGAGATAGTTTGGTTTAACTTGTTATTAACAGCTTTGTGATTCTACAGCATACGATTATCAGTATTTTTCTTATAATCCAAAATATTTAATAATCATTGTTCTGAACAAAATACTTCCATATGAATTTATTTAGAAACACAGACATCAATAGTCAGCCTGTGAATCTCAAGAATGGTGACAACAATAATGCATGTTGCAGTGGCTGCCACCAATCACAACTCATTAATGGCTCCCATCATGCATTGCAGTATGAATAAATTATGATCTGAATTTTCTATGTAATTTACTTTTCCTAATTGAATATTCTGCTCGTCACCATTGTTGAGATGCATTGACTGAATCTTGATGTCTGTGTGTGCCTAATAGAAAGATTTTTTTTAAACAACTTTAAAGAAATCCTTTATATTATATTCATATATGAAATTCTGGACATTTATGAAGAATCACAGTTATGCTGTAACCAATAGCATAAATCACAAACATAAAGATCAAATGATGATTGTCATAATATAACCGACATAATTAGATCATTTTTTTTCTTTGTTGATCTGGCAGTTATAACTCAGATACAACAGCCAAACAAAATCTAAAGTTATTAATCTAAGGGTCAAGAGCCCAACTAAAGCAAACAATGATCGCCATAACGGTGGCTTACAATTTTAGATTTTCTCCTTCTTTAGATGCTCAATCATCACTCAATTAATCACGTAATTATCTCATTAACTTTAACACTCTTGAGTGTGGACTCATATACACTCCCAGGAGTGTTAATTTAACACTGGAGTTTTTGCTGTGTACAAAGAGCCGTAGTTAACTGACAAGCTGAGCCATATCGCATCAATTATCGCTGGCGATACGTCCGCGATATTAATGCGATATGGCTCAGCTTTTCAGTTAACTACGGCTCTTTGTAGTAAATGCCGCTCCATCTGAAAGCAGGTGAAGGCGATTTACTACTAATCAAGGAACCGGCTTTACTGA